TAACGATGAAGAGCTTTCACATTGTGTGAGGTAGATGAAGGAAACAGTATACGAATGATAAACATACAGAGCCATTAAAAAAAATCTGTGTAAAATATGAGGTCATAAATAATCCCACTTGGTCATTTTAATCAATAGCTGAGCGTCACCTCTGAAGTAAAAAAACAAAACAAAAAACCCCACAAAAAACGAGCTCCTGCTCCACTCCTGAGACCCACTTCTTTAAGCCAGCTGGTTTCTGATTGGCTGACCTTCACAAATGGAAGGCTTGGACAGCAAGTGGGTGGGGCTTCTGGAGTTGTGTGTCTGAGAAGAACTGGAAAGCACAGTGATTACTTTTCTTTGTGCTGACCTGTTTGTGTGCCCATCGTTGTTCTCATTTCACAAGCACTAGAGACAAAATTCTAATGGTTTTGGAAAGATGAGTTATTATTTTAATTTTAGAGCCAGAATTACAAAATAAATCCATTAGGCCTGGGCGATAAAGAGTTAAGAGACTAACTTTTCTTTTCCCTTGCAGTTAGACGTGCTGCACTACATCCATTCAAACGAATACGTTCATGCGGATATCAGTGCCGAGAACGTGTACATAAAACAAGGACAGAGGTCACAGGTAAGACGTGCTCTGAGCTTCAAACTGCACTACTCTGTCCTGAAGTGTGTGTAACCAGGCTGCTTCTGTGTGTTTGTGTGTGTGTCTAGGTGTACCTTGTAGGATACTGCCATGCCTTCAGGTACGGTCCAGGAGGAAAGCATGTGGAGTACCGTGAAGCCAGCCGAACGCCACACGAGGGCACCGTCCAGTTCATCAGCCTGGACGCGCATAAAGGAGCAGGTGTGTTGCCTCTGTGGTCCACTGAGCCATCTGTAGTCTGTCAGTGTCACTAAATCATACTTCATCGTGTAAGCTGCTGTAAACCAGAGCGCTCTGACCACGCTCCATCTGGCCAAACACTGGCTTCACATCTGCTTCTCCTTCTTTCGGCTGCTCGTGCCACAGCGGATCATCTACCATCCTCCTCCATCACACCAACCATTTGCGTCACTACATCCATCCTTCTCTGTGGCTTTCCTTTTTTCTTTCTGCCTGGCAACATCCATGGCTTCACATTAGTATGATTTTATTTTCACATGTGAAGGTGGTTTTTGTTTTGTTTTTTGTTTTTACAGATTTTGAAGTTAAAAGGCACAAATTTCACCCGTGGAAAAATAAGGAGATGTTTTTGTAAATCTGAGGTCTTTTTTTGTTTACTGATTTTTGTCATCACACTCTTTCAGCTCCATCTCGCCGCAGCGACCTGCAGTCTTTGGGTTACTGCATGCTGCACTGGCACACTGGATTGCTGCCGTGGACCGAGCTCACTCAACCACAGCAGATAGCCACAGAGAAACAGAGGTAAGAGAGAGATAATCTGTCATTTTTGTGTAATTTTAACCTTCTGTGTGAAACAAAATGCAAATAACACATGGCTGTAGGTACATGGAGGATGTTCCTGCACTTCTGAGCCAGTGCTTTGGGAGGAGGAGCGTTTCCAGTGAGTTCCAGTGTTTCTTCTGTATCATATACCACATTTTCCTGCATTTTCTTTGGTGATATCTTTTTGTTTTTTGTGCTCCAGGAGCATTTCAAACATACCTGACTGCAGTGATGGCTCTGCAGTACTCCGAGCAGCCCAATTACTCAGCGCTGAAGGCCGGACTCAGCGACGCTTTAGTGCAGCTGGGGGCATCGGTGGAGGAGCCCCTTAATTTTTAGGTGAGGACACACCCGCCTTTACTGAAACTGAGAAATAAAGATGTTCACATGCACCTGAGGCAAGTTCAACATACCCAGAATAGGTTTTCTTTACCTGATGTCAGCAGTCAGCTCATTTACCTGCCTTCTGAATAAAAGGTCAACGAGGCTCAGGTGTTGTGTTTTAGGAGCATATTTTTAAAAAGTTGCTTTAAAAGTAAAAAGTTTAAACATATTCTCCAAGATCTTAATATTTCTCATTGATGCTCATCACATAGAGCCTCTTTGTATCTGCACAGAGATGGTGGTGCTGTTTTTAGACAGCTGATTGGTCACTGGGAGGTTGATTCATATTTGTTGATCTCTTAACAGATATAACAGCATAAGTTACCATGGTGATACCCCAGTAAGACTTGAAACATCTTTGTAAAACTAAAATTTTCAGATAAGAAAAGGAAGAAACTGAGATTCTGGGTTCATCCGATTCTGAGTTTCTCACAGGATTAATTTTTTTTAAAATTAATAGATCTGACCAATCAGGTCACTGCATTTGGCAACAAGTGCAATCATAGCTCAAAATGTGCGCCAGTACTTAAAAACATCAGGACCAGCTCATCATCGCTTCATGTCGACTTCATTCTCTTTAGATTTAGTTTTTCTGAGGGCAAACCTTTTGTAAAAACCCTTTCAGTGTGTATACACGTTACATGACAAGTTCAGATCTGAAAAATTTTGAATTTCGTGTTGTTTATTTTTTCCCTCAGTGGGTAAAGACCTCAAGGCTAAAGACCCCTTGCTCAGCCTCAAAGCCTGTATCATAGTACAGGACTGTTCTTTGCAATCAGATATTAAAAAGTATTATTTATACACTGATGTCATTATGAATTACATCTGTTGGAGACATTATGTTTATTATTTACAGCACAGGATGCAAAGCTAGAGGTGGCAGATGAACATGAGGTAAAGATGCTTAGATTTTCATTGGGCGTGACTGAGATGGAGGGGATTCGAAATGACTTCATCAGCTCAGGGACAGCTCTGAGTTAGTGAAGCGGAAGGTTGGTGTTAGGAATAGGGTAAGATGGAGGTAGATGATCCGCTGTGGTGACCCCCAGTCAAAAGAAGACATACAATCTTCAGATAAAGCTGCCACCGTTTATATGAAAGGGCCCTTTATCTATGCCGATCAGGCAAAATCCAAGCAGACTGAACGCAAACGGGGATTATTACTGTGATCAGATGAGATTATCAGAGATTTAATTAAACCAAACTGAAGCGTTAAAACTGACATCAACCTGACAGCGATGCTGCATATGTATCAAACCCCTTGAGTCTGACTAATCTTTGTTTTATTTTCAGAGAGATCGCACAAAAGAGACGACACTGAAAGATCCTGGAGTTTTCTTATTTTAGAGTCGTGTTTAAATGCTGATGCTTTATTGCACTGAAAGTCATGAGTTTATTAGGTAAACGATTCATTGGTTTTACAGTTTGTGTGTGTGTGGGGGGGTTGATCATCTTTATGGACCTGTTGAGGCTTCTGTGGTTTTCAGCCTCACAAAGAAATACAAGTTTTAAATTCCTAAAGCACTGATTTTTATATTTTGTGTGTTGCAGTGTTGTTAGGTAGTTAGATTTAACAGGCTGATTTTTATAACAGATGTTTTTTTTTCTGTTGACTTATCCTGCTGAACATTTCAACAAATAAAATATCGACATTTCTTACAGTGACTCAGTGAGCTTTGATATTTTCTGATAAGAATACATCGTCTGGTTATTGCTACCTGTTCTTTTTTTTTTTCCAAGCTCCAGATTTTTGTCCCTGAATTTTGGGAGAGTAGCTTTGCATGACTCAGAGTTAAAAATAATCCTTATTTATCTTTTACCGGACCTTTGTGGACATCTCGCCCATTTTACCTCTTTATACTTTACCTCCACTCTTCTGATTGGTCGTAGCTCACAAACAGAAGGCTGAGAAAGGCTGAGGCTGTTGGCTCACAGGAATTACACAAACACACACTGACCTCTTTATTTGAGACTTTTGCCAAGCTTAACCCTCACACAACCCAACTGTTTTAGTAACCATAACCAGCCTCTGTCAAATGAGCTGTTTTCATCACCACTGAGGGCATCGAGTTTCTGCCTTGAGACGTCTGTATCAGTTAATAATGTTACTGTGTTTGAAGAGAGCAGACAGGGAAAAATTTACAATAAAATTAAAACCTGAGTGTAAGAAAAATGTGTCATGTGGAGATGGTCAACAATAATACTCGGTCAGTCTGCAGTGTTTAAATGACAGTCAGTGGGTATTAAAGGCTCAAAGTGTGCCAAGAGCACATCTCCCACACCTTTTATACCACCAACAGTCTGAACTGTTGACTCGTCAGACCAGACAAAGTCTTTCCAACCTTCTACTATCCAGTTTTGGTGAGCCTGTGAGATCTTCTGCTTTAAGGGTCAGTGTGGTGTTCAAAAAGGAATTTTCACCCTTTCGATATTTTCTATATTTTGACCGACTCTCTGTAAACTCTAGAGATGGTTGTGTGGGAAAATCCCAGTAGACCAGCATGTTCAACATCACTTAAATCACCTTTTCTCTCCATTCTGATGCTCAGTTTAAACTTCACGTGTACCTGCCTAAATACATTTGAGTTGCTGCTATGTGACTGGCTGATTAGATACTTGTGTTAAGCAGCTGAACAGGTGTACTTATAAAGTAGCTGGTTAGTTTGTAGTAAGAAACAATTTTAAAAGTAAAAATGCAACAACAGGAAGTATAAATATCCATAAACAATCCCACTTTGGTCACTTTAAGCCTTTGGTGGGAGGCTGCTCATATAACCATGACTGAGCGGTATCTAGTTAAGAGGTAACCAAGTCTCACCCTAACAGACATCTGTACATTTTCCTGTTATTTTGGGGACATAAAATACTTTCACATTCCTGATGACATGCGAGACTAAAGTTGATTCATTCAACACAGCAGCACGTGTTAATTTTAAAGAAACCTTTATAAAGTTTAAACATTTCTGAACATAAACATTTTGACATTTCAAGACATATACAATTCTTTATATGAAACAGTAAATATCTCTTATTGTGCACACTCAAAGTAATTCAGAAAATAAACACTGTTCTCTTTGCCTGATCTCTCCTGTCGTGGCATTTAAAACCTAAACGTCGCTTGAGGCACTTTCTGAATGACGAGGCTGTTAAAGAAACATGTAAAGCATGACGGACTATATCGCCCCCGTGAGGCGGCTTCTTTTTTTTTTTTTGACACAGTCACAGACCGGATGGCTTTCTCAGAGCGGAGCATAGCTTACACACCTAAACTGATCAGCTGAGCTTTGTAATGCAGACATGCTGGCGGTGTGTGTGTGTATGTATGTGTGTGTGAGGCAGCTACACATGCAGGTTTAAATACAGTTTCGCACTTCTGCTATCCTTCAAGTGTTCATTTCTAATAACAGCTTAGGCGCTGGTACGATTTTGACCTTTAAATTCACTCCGAGTGTGTTTCTAAACATTAACTGTCTCTGAAAGCCTAAAATTCTCACTTTCAGGGTACATTGCTGCTTTGGAAATGACTTCATGTCTTCAGACAAACATCACATGCTCAAGAAGCCCTGTCTCGCAATGAAAGAGCTCCGGGCTGTGCAGAGAGTTAACACTGAACATCAATACCTCGGTAGTTCTTCCATATCCACAAATACTCTCTCTTTTTTCTTTTTTTTTCTGAAGTCACTATAATGCATCTTGGTAGCTGATTGTATGCGTCTCTGTAGCTTGAAAAACATCAACTTGAAATTATAAAACCACCTGAAAATGATTAGATCACTTAAAAAAAACAAAAAAGGCCGCTTTTTAAGCTGTTCCTGAAATGTTTTTTTTCACATGACAGGAGCAGTTTATGAAAGTGTAAACTTAAGTGGGGTCCCACTTTAACCCAGAGCACATGATAAAGTCTGCGTTCAAAGTATGATTACTGTCAGAGGACGAAGAGGAGGAAGTGTGTGTGTGTGTGTGTGTATGTGTGTGTGTTTACAGTCACGACTGAGGTATAGAAACCTCGAGGTTTATCATTCCTGGTGAGAACAAGGCGAATATGTGCACAAACTCCACCGTGATTGGGAGGAGCCTGTTTGTCTGAGCAGTAAGTGGAACATCCTCAAGGCCTCCAATCCTGAAGTGTAAGAGGGACACAGATGGCACCAGAGTGGGAGAAATGGTTTAAGTGTAGATCCGTGGTCTCACTCGAAGTCAGGTAGGTCCACCTGGCTGGGACTAGAACAACCCTCTTCCTGATCCTTTCCTGTGAGATTAAAAAGAGGGAAAATTAAACCCCTCACACCTGCAGTTTGAAGAACTACCACCTGTGTTTACAGACTGACTCCTCACCGTCATCCTCGCCTCCCTCGCTGTGCTCCTCTTCCTTACCCTCAGAAATTTCTATATGACCCAAATCCTGCACGTCACCCACGCTCGACTCCTGAAAAATAAAACACAATTCTTCATTGGTAAAGGCAGCACGGTGCAGCACCTTATAGATTCAGTTTACCTACATCAGATGGTGACCATAAAACATGAATGTATATATGCATCATGCATTTAGAATATGCACCGACCCTCTTAGATTATGAACTGTGTGCACTAAAACACGTTAAGGATTGCTACACCCCCTGCACTCTGATACGCTTCTTTCGGCTCCTCTCTTTAGTGGTGTATTCTCCATGGACGCGTCAATATGATCACAAAAAGCAAACATGCAACACCCCATGTGAGATGATAACATTTATGTCACTCAACTCAGATTCACAAACATAGAAAGTATGATTGAGGCTTTATGCTGAACACACAGTGTGAATAATTATGTCCCAAAATTCTACTCTTACTCTACAAGGTCAAATTCCTTTATTGTCACTGTGCAAACAAAATTGTGCACACTACCTAGAAACAGACCTGGTATGACAGATGACACACACACAGCTCCAGAGTTAAAGTGGGATGGACCACAGCAACTATAAAACACTGCATTTTTATAAGAAAACTGTGCAATAAATAGTAATGCTGCCGTTAACGAGCTACAATCACAGATGTAACGTCTCACATCGCCACACCTAAAACAATCGCAGAGCATTAAAGAACATTATAGTCTGTTTACCTGTGATTCAGAGAAACGATCTTCATCAGAGTTCCTAAATCCTTCTGGAGCTTCCATAAGGATCTCAAGACCATCAGCCTCCTCTTCCTCGTCACTGCTGAGTGAGACAAAACAAAATGCTGTGACATTGACATAAATGCACCTGTTCACTGACACAGTATCACGTTCAGCCTGGATCTCTCGATTTAGAGTTACTTCTGTTTCTGAGACAGAACGTCACGGTTACATTTTACCGTAAAGAAGCTCACATAAATATATGTGTACACACAGACTGTATAAAAAAGATGCACAGGCATTGTGACATCAGCCATTTGGTTTCTTTTTGAAATTCTATTTTGGCCATCACCACCTTGGTGCTTTGAAACTGGACAAACAAGATAAAAATATGAAATAATCCCAAATTTCAACACCACAAAATGCTGTCAGTTTAATAAATATTCCTCTACAGTAGATTCTCCTAGGAAAACAGTCTGCTTTGATTATGTCAAGCCCAGAGTCCACTTTTGCCCAGGTCTGCAAATATCCACACAAGCAAGAAGAAAACTTGGATTTACTGAGATCAGCAGTTTTAAAGCTCCTCTATATCAGCCTGTCGCAGCAGCTTCACAACCACTAGTAAATCAAAAACAAAAGAAAAGAGGTAGAATAACTGCAGGATATCACAACAGCAGTGTGTAGCTGCTAACAGGTAGAAAGAAGAAGCTGCACAGCTCACTCTTGTAGGGAAATCTGATATCAGTGTGTTTGACACACAGCAGGAATATTTCTAGGATTTTTCTGAGTCTCCTGAGACTCTGAATACGGTGCATTTCTGTTTTGTTTAGTTGTTTAATGATAGTTTTTACTCTCAAATAGCTTAGTGATGTAATAAAATCTTTAAAAAGAATGGGATCCTCCTCCCAAAGTCCTATTGCCACGGATTGTGAGTGCTGAAAGTTAACAGCAGTTTCTAATTTGATTGTTGTTTGCCATGTTGAGCAGCTCAAAAACTACTGAAGGAAAGGGAGAGCCATATAGATGGGGAGGGGAGAGTTGCCCCTCACCCCCTCTGGTAAGCCACGTCCATCTTTGACATACAGTATGTGTACACGTGTATACATTAGCGGCCACATTAAATTATTACGAGCAACAGAGTCAGAATAAAACTTTCACATTTCTGCCTTTTAGTTCAGAGTCACAGATATCAGGAACTTTAAACATCTACAGTATTGTTAACAAAGCTGTGATATTTCATAACACAGTAAGAAATATAATAAACAGCATTTGCACAGCAGATTATGGCTGGAAATATCCGTCTGCCAAATACCTGGAAACACTGTAGTAGTGTACTGAGGAGACCTGACTGTTGATGATTAAACTAGAATTACTGCCACGATGACCTCTGAGGATCAAAATCTAAACATGTTCAAGACAATGGAAGAAATGGAGACACAAGAACGATTCCTGATGTTAATCTTCAAAGATTTTCCCTCTCATTTTGCTTCTTTTTGGGTCTCTCATCTCCGGTTTCATCAGCTCCTAAATGCTCCATGTTTCTCTGAGTTTGGTTAATGATTAGTTTTTAAAGTTGCATTTATACTTAACTGTAAAGCTCCACACCAGCTCCTACCTGCTGGTGTGGAGCTTTATAGTCTGTTATAAAGAAACCGAGGTTAACAGTTGTGGACACGGTCGACAAACATTTCTGTCCCCACACTGACTGACCTTCCTCCACAGTACAGGTTCTCTGCATTCTTTTCTTCCTCCTTTATTTCCTCCTCTTCCTTTTTGTTTTGGTCCTCTTTACATTTATTATCCTGCTCTTCCTTTTCTCCTCTCTCCTCTTCTTTCTCTCCTCTGTCTTCTTGTTCTTCTTCCTCTTCTTCATCAAGATCGGAGCAGTTGAGAAAGTCGAAGCTTTCAAGGGCAGTTTCGACTTCCTGGTTAAAACTCGCAGATGTGGGGAAAGGAGGCTGAGGAGAAACACACGGAGGAGTTAAATACGTCACTGTTTATAGACGAATGTGTTAAATTTATTCCTGAACTCACCGCTGGAGCGTCCTCGCCATGTTTCATCTCCTGGACGGACTGGTGTGGTTGACTTTGGTCTACCTTGTGTTCCTCTGCTGCTGCTTCAGTGTCTGTCTGTGCTTCAATCTGTTCAGCCCGGGCTAACGAGTCCACGGACGCGTCATCGTTCACCTCCGCAGGCACAAACGCCGCAGGAGGCAGAGAGATGTCGGGGCAGGAGCAGCTCAGGTCTGCCGAGGTTTCAGAGAGCTCCTCTGATTGGACAGACACTCTGTCAGTTGCGGTACAATCCGGGCTGCTCTCACTGGCGAGGCCGTGGGAGAAGGAAGCCTGGAGATGGCCATTCGTCTGAGGAAAAACCTCCCCGGTTTCGGTCTCATCCTCCTCTTGGTTGGATGAGAGCGAGGGCGTTGATGCACTGGACTTGTGTGGCGTGAATGACAGCTGAGTGGTGAGAGTGGTTTGCAGCAAGTTGGACGCCGTCAGTCTCTGAGCGTGATGAGCCAGTGCTGGACTGGATGAGTCATCGGAGGATTCAGAGGAGTTGGACCAGACCGTCCCATTCTCCATTTCCCCCTGACGCTTCAGCAGAGACTAGAGATGAAAGGAAACGAGATCAGAACAAGAAACTAAATCACCTGTACTGTGATACGCAGCACAATGCTAACTGAACACCTATCATTAAATTATATCCTTAAAGCTTTAAATGGGGGAAGATTAAAGATAAAAGCATTCAACTAAAGTAATCTGACTGTTTCCAGGGTTTTCACAAAAACAAAGCCACAGTTTCTCAAGTTGGACATGATCCCCTGAAAAGTTCAGTTTTATCTGGATAGGGCCAAACCACAACAACAGTGACCTCAAGGTGCTTTAGACTGGAAGAGAAAGACTTTACGATAATATAGAGAAAATACCAACAATCGGACAGTGAGCAAGCACTTGGCAACAGTGGGAAGGAAAAACTTCCTTTTAACAGGAAGAAACTTCAGGCAGAACCAGGCTCAGGGAGGGCCGGCCACGTAACATGAATGTTGGGTCTGAGGGGAGAAAGACAGGACAAAAGTAAAGCTGATGTCACAGTGATCTATGAAAAAAAGCTCCACTGATGAGTTTGTCATATGAACTCACTTGTTTCTGGTCCTATTAGACGTAAGATTTTTATTTTGTAAATGTAGTTCTATTTAGAGTAAAACAGGTGATAAAGCAGAGATGCTTCTGTACGAGCATGCAGTGTCCCAGGTTTCTCACTCAGTTTTTTTGCTAATATTCTCACCAGTGTAACATGTACTCATCAGCCCCTTCATTAGTTACACCTGTTCAACTTTGCGTTAATGCAAATCTCTAATCATCCAATCACATGTTCAAACTGAGCATCAGAATGGGGAAGAGCTCGGATTTAAATGATTTCAAATATGGTGTGGTTTTGGTGCCAGATGGGCTTGGCACCAATTTTCCCCACATAAGCATCTCTGGGATTTACAAAGAACCGTCTGAAAAAGAGAAACTATCCAGTGAGCAGCAGCTCTCTGGCTGAAAATGCTTTGTTGATGCCAGACATCAGAGAAGAATGGCAGCACATCAAACCTTGGAGCAGATGGGCTACAGCAGAAGACCACACTTGGTGCTGCTCCTCTTAGCTATCAAAAGGAAACTGAGGAAACCCCAACATCGGACAACAGAAGACTGGAATAATGTTTCCTGGCCTGATCAGTCTCAATTCCTGCTGCCACATTCAGATGGCAGGGTCAGAATTTGAAGGAAGCATGAAAGCATGGACCCATCCTGTGTGTCGACGCTTCAGAGTGCTTCTGGCGGTGGAGGCTATGTTTTTTTCCACACACTTCGAGCCCCTTCACAACAACCAACCATACTTAAACACCACAGACTACCTCAGTATTGTTGCTGATCATGTCCATCCCTTCATGACCACCATCCTGTCTCTGCTGAAAGCTTTGATGTTATAAAAACAACTGCTTGTGTGTCACGAAACCTAAATGATCTCAAACTGCAACTTTTAAATATGACAATAACTTCACTGTACTCCAACGGCCTCCACAATCAGATCTCAATCCAAGAGAGCACCTTTGGGATGCTATCATGTTATTATGAACCAAACCTCTGAGGAACATTTCCAGCACCTTGTTGAATCTCTGCCATGAAGAATTAAGGAGGTAACGAAGGTAAAAGAGGGTCCAACCCAGCAATAGCAAGATTGTGTGTAGGCGATGTTGATGGACAATTTTGGGACCTTGGTAACTTGTGAAATGTCATTACTTTAAACACTGAACTTTCTTGATTAAATAAGAAAAACTCAAATCTCCGCAACAAAACTTGGATCAGTTGGAATTAAAAATTAAACACAATCAGTTTTTGGGTTTTTTTGAGGGGGGGTGTTAGGATCTGATTGGATATTAACAAACTAGTTAATAATTGTTCCGTCACTATAAACTATATTAAAGCTACGACTACATCCCAACACACCGACTCTGCTGTGGTGAACTGAGGCGCTGCATGGCTGAGTTCACAACGGAAGGTCGCCGCCCTGTCCGCCGCCACCCCGTGGAAGGCCTTGACCAGCAAGCGGCTCTGCCAGTGCCTACACCGAGCCATGCTCTTCATCGAGGCGAGGAAGAGGAGGAACATATTGGAATTCTACTCAACCACTACTAAACAGCTACAAGGACCACAGCTCCGCTCCAACATACTGCTGCTGTCACACAACTCGCTACGGCTATCGTTCACTCTGCTCGCCTCAGGCACATCACGACCACACCCACACAACCCTCTGCGAACATCCTCACACACATCAGCGCTACCGCTACAGAGGAAGCAGTCGGGGAGCAGCTGAAACAGAACAGGCCAGTGAAACCACAGTAATGACACCCATCAGTTTAGCATGAATGCAAGAAGCTGATTTATAGAAATTGGGACCGAGCGATGTTAGGAGAACAGGTGTGAAGGAGAAGTTGTTAGTGGAAAAAGCTGTTGGTGAATGTTTCTCATGTTGTCACTCACATAAAACACCTGCTCTCGCATAGAAGGTGTGTCTGGAGGGCTCTGATTGGACAGCAGGCGTTTAGAAACTGTGCTGGAGGAAGATGTCTGGTCATCCTTATCAAACGGACTGAAGAAAGAAGAAACGAGACAAAAGACGTGTGAATAATCATAAAAAAAAGCTGCACATGTAAACTGAGGTGTGTGTGTGTGTGTGTGTGTGTGTGTGTGTGTGTGTGTGTGTAGCAGGTCTGAATACCTCCAGGTGACCTCCAGGTTCAGTTTTACTGTCCCGAGGTCATTGATATCCACGGCGAGTGTTTGAGGCAGCGGGCAGAACAGATCGAGCATTTCGCAGGACACGCTGCCCACCACCACGTGATTGGCCAGGCTCTTCAGCTCCGTCACCTTAGAAACAGAAGAATACAAACCCCATCGTGAGAGCAGAGACCATGTGGTCATCTAAAGCTTTCAGAGGTGGATACAAACACACATATATGAACGTGTGTAAGAGCAAGGGTAAAGGTTATTATTACTTTTATTATGACTACAGAATTATCTGTCTGGAAGTTGTTAATCTGTACATGGAAAAAACAAACAACAGAAGAAAACAAAGACAAAGTCTAAAAAAATGAATGAATCACGTCTCTAACAGCAGGGAATATATTAGCGAGTTATTCTGGGCGTATGTGACAAACCAAACTGACCACCAACAAGTATTTTTTTCTAGTGTAGTCAAAACATGATAAAGATCACGGTTCAGCTCCACTGCTACAGGAAGCATCTAACTACCTCATGAAATAACCCAGCACATCCGTCCTTATCCTCATCTTTATTTCAAACACTGTCTGCTACACGTCACACTCTCTGCTTACTGAGCTGCTTTTTCTGCCATCGTTTGTCCGATATATCCACCATCCCTCCTCTGCACGTCTGAAACGTCTCAGCCTCGCCCCTCTAACTTTTGTCTCTAAGCTCTGATGTACTGATGTCCAATCCTGTACCTCCCGCTGCCGCCTGAACTCTCTTCTTCACCTCTCTTGTACACTTCCTGTTGTTTGGATGGGTGACTCCAGCTATTTACACCACTACATTCACACACATATGTATTTTGTTTTTTTTTGCTTCTACTGACTTTTATTCCTTTACTTTTATACCTCCACCTTTCCAGACGCTCTTCCTGCTCCTTACTCTCACTACTAATCCCATTGTTGTCTGCAAACATGTGTGACCTCACCTGTCAACCTGTCCACCACCACTGCAAACAAGGAGGTGCTCAAAGCTGATCTCTCATGTAATCCTACCTCCACCTTATACCCACCTGTCCCTCCTACCAAACACCTCACCACTGTGTCTCTGTCCTCATACGTGACCTTAACCACCCTCACATCCTTCTCATGTGGTACCACAGTTCCTCTCCCATGCCTTCTCTAGACATGTCTCCATCAATCACATCTGTATAAGGCCATACTGCTACTCACTGATCATCGCCTATTTTTTTAACAGCTTCAACAATCTCTCATGTCTCGCTGGCACAGCCTGCTGTTTAAAGTCATTAAAGATGGTACAAAATTGTATTTTAAGACATACATGTTTTACATGTTTGCGCTACATGTTTTTCCTTGTGGTCCTTCTGTCTTACCATATTGTAATCTATGTACTTGTCTGACCCAAAAATGGGTTTATTTTCTTGCTTCGACTGACTTTCATGAATATCACTGAGTTATTTTACTTATTTATGACTTTACTTTATTATTTCGCCTTTCAACTTG